CGAGAGGATTGCCTGAGCCCAGGGGTTCAAGACCAGCCTGGGCAACTTGGTAAGACCTTGCCTCTACAATAAATAAAAAAATTAGCCGGGCATGGTGGTGCGTGCCTGTAGTTCCAGTTACTTGGAAGGCTGAGGCTGAAGGATTGCCTAAGCTCAGCAGGTCAAGGTTGTGGTGGCTGGAAGTGTGCCACTGCCCTCCAGCCTGGGCAACAGAGTGAGACTCTGACCCCCCCCTCCAAAAAAAGTCTTTTGAAGAGCAACATTTTAAATTTTGATGAGTTCCAATTTTTACATTTCTTTCCTTTAAGGATCATACGTTAGTTGTCAAATCTAAGAAGTCTTGGCCTAACCCAAGAAAATGAGTATTTTTCTCCTTCTTCTAGAAGTTTTATAGAATAGTTAAATTAGAAATCAATAACAATAAGATATGATTCAAAAAACCCAAAATAGAGGGAAATTAAACAACATACTTTGAAATAATCTATGGGCCAAAAAAGAAATCATAAGGGAAATTAGAAAAAATTTCAAACAGATAAGGAAGATACATTTCATTATTCCTTAAAAAAGCAAACATATACATGTTTATATATTTTTTAATTTTAAAAACTTTTTTGTAGAGATGGTTCTCACTGTGTTGCCCAGGGTGGTCTGAAATCCTGGGTTCCAGCAACCCTCCCACCTTGATCTCCCTCCCAAAAAAGCAAAGAATAAAAAAGGATATTTATTAAACACATATCATGGTAATCATGGGTCATCTTCTGCTCTTTCCTCCTCCAGCTATTAACATAATTTTTCCTCTCCTTTAGGGTTACGTTTCTCAAAGACATGTTTCTATTCAAGTATCCATGTTCATGTTCATGTGTTCCTCTCCTTCCCTGTAAGGTGGCTTGCAGATGCTTCACTCCAATGGAACAGCACTCACTAAGGTCCTGAGGACCCCCGTGTTGCTAAATCCAGCAGAAGTGCTTCTACTTCCATCTTACTTGTCCTCTCTGCAGCATGCCTGCTGGTTTTCCACCTCTTTTCCCCTCACTCTTCATCATGTCTGTGTCCCTCAAAGATCATCTCTAGGTACTCTTCTCTTCCTTCTGTATCCTCCCTCCATCCCATGTCTTCAATGACCATCTATACTCCAACGACCTTCTCTATCATTCCCAGTCCAGATCCCTTCTCTGAATTCCCAGTCCACAGAGCCAGCAACCCACTCCAATATCTTTTAGTTTTCTCAAAGGACTCTGCTATGACCTGAATGTTTGTGCACCCCTAAAATTCATATGTTGAAATTCTAATCCCCAAGTGATGGTTTAGGAGGTGGGGGCTTTTGGGAAGTGCTTAAGTCATAAAGGTGGAGCCCTCAGGAATGGGATTAGTGAACTTATAAAAGAGTCCCTAGAAAGCTCCCCTGCCCCTTCAACTATGTAAGGACACAGAAGGGGCTATCGATGAGGAAGTGAGCCTTCACCAGACACCGAATGTGTCCACGCCTTGATTGTGGACTTTCCAGCCTCTAGAACTGTGAGAAATGTTTGTTGTTTATAAGCAGTCCAGTTTGTGGTATATTATAGCAGCCCAAATAGACCAAGATGGCATCTCAAATGCAATTTGTTCAAATGCAAACTCACTATCCTCCTCTCCTAGCCCGAGTCCTCTTCTGAAGTTTCTTCTTCTAAATGGTACCAATCTGCCCAGCCGCGAGCCTGGAACCTGAGAGTCATCTGAGACATAGCCCTCTCCCCACACCTGCGTATCCAATCTATTATCACTCAGTTGATGTCATCTCCATCTTGACCACCACCATCCAGTCTCTCAAGGACACTATGGCCCAGCCTTCTCGATGGTGCCCTTGAACCCACAAGTACCCTTGCCCAACCCATTCTGCATGCTGGGCTCAGACAGCACAATCAACGGCTCTCAGCACAAAGACAAAACTTTAATGTGGCTTATCTCAATCTGGCCTCTACCTCCTTCCCATACTTGCCATCTTCCTCTCCAACCACATGACCTTTGCATACACTTTTTCCTCTCCCTGTATTTAATAGAAGTCTGCCTCCCTAGTAGACATAAAGTTCCGCGAGGGCAAAGCCTGTGTCTTGTTTTACTCATCATTCTGTCCTCAGTCCCTGGCACAAATCTTGGGCACATAGAGACCTCAGAATAAAAATCTACTGAATGACTGAGTGATGGCATGGTGATCTAGGATGAAAACAGGACTTGAGATAGAGTAGAAGATATTGAAGGAAGAAGATATGTCTTCAAAGAATAAAGGGTAATGACTAGGCAGTGAAATGGACAAAGAAGATCTGAGGGTAACAGAGATAATGGCAGAAGCCCTAAGGGTGCTGAGCTGCACGTAGGTGGGGGTATTCTGGGGACACAGAGCTTGTCATGAATGAAAAACAGACCATCCCAGAGAAATTCACCCCTTTGCCTGGACTGAATTTTCCTTAAGATAAAGAGGAAGCGCCCCTCATGATCAGTATCAAGAGGGGTCATAATTCTTCTTAGAGGAAGCAGGAAAGGGTCATTCACTAAAGGAAGCCAATGACATTGGGGCAGATGGTGGCACCTCCCACTGGCCACCGAATCCCCGAAGATCTACCACGATTCCCCACCTGAAGAATCAGTAAATGAACACACCCAAAACTCTACTCAAAACTGTCACCCAGCATCTCATTAATGGCTTTTTTGAATTTTTTTTCTCAGACATGATCAATCAGACGTGTGCGGCCTGAATTCAAACCCTTCCCATGAAGACACGTACCTTAGTCCATCCAGGAAACTGGATAAAGGTATCCTGGGGCAAGTCTGGGATCCCAGTGGGAATGGAGAAGTTCCCCACATAAAAGGCTGGGAGCGAGTAGTTATATGTGCTGCGGGCCCAGGTTTTATCATGGCAGTTGCCATCATGGCCATCCCAGCCTCCCAGGTGGCTGCGCACTGCATCCTCGGTGTTCAGTGGGAAGATTGTCCAGCCCGTGAGGATACTGGAGTCGAGGGTCAGGTTAGAAACCAAACCCTGCAAAAAAGAAACAGAGCATAGTGAGCTCAAGAGGGAGGGAAAAGACTTGAGGTGTTTTTGCGTTCCAGTCCCGCACTCCTGGGAAAAGCAAATCGGGATGCAAAATACCAACAGTGAATGAGACTCAAACCGCACATACACCCAAGTAACACGAAGCTAACCAGAGGCTGAATCACACGTCCATGGGATATATTTCCCAAATGACAGCTTTCTCTCTCTTTTGGAGGTCTGGATGTCTCCACTAAAGGCCCAGAGTTTCTGCTTCTGCAGAAAGAGGGTTGACTTGCTGGAGTGATTGACCCCAAATCTTCAGTGTTTCGTTCAGAGCCATTGCAAGAAGGGAAGAAAGGAGGGAGTCTGAGGAATGGGAGAAGGAATGAGTGTGGGAGGCCAAGGAAAGTTCACCCCACTGTAGATGTGGGGAGGCTGATGGATCTAGCCGGGGGCCCCCTGGCAGGCCTCACAAGCATGAAGACACCCGAGTCCTTCACTGGTTCTGAGGACCAAATGAGAGAACACAAACGCGAACACTGAGCCATGGGTGAAAGGATAGAAAGGACCGCTACAAGGACCGCAGACCTCACGCCTGAATGTGAAAGCAGCTCCATTTGTTCTACATGGGCCAGGGCTGGGGTGTCCAGTGGCCACAGCCCAGAAGCCTGTGTTCATGGCTCATCTACCTTCCCCTTCCCAGGCTCGAGTGTGGGGAATGTCTCCAGTCCTGGGGGGATCCAGACACCAAGTCTCAACTGCTCATTGAGTAATTCAGTAAGCATTAACCAGGCAGCTGTGTGTCAGGTTCTTTGCCAGGTTATTGGGGACCCAGAGACTGCACGAGAGTCCCAATCATTCGTGGGTCACAGTGGCCTGTGACAGGCAGGCAGGAAGGCCATTAAGTATATATAGCCTGAGCACAAGGACTAGGGAGAGACATTTATGCTGGAGGCAAAGACAGCCCACAGTCTCCTAAGTGTGTCACTGCTTTGCCTGTGAGTTGCCCTCAGGTGGACCAGAAAACAGCCCCTGTCCTGCCCGAGACTGGGTGGTCCATAATTCCCTCGAAGAGGCCTTCTTACCTCTCACAGAGGGTGAGCTACCCGAGGGGAGTCTGAATCTTGACATCTTTGTATTTCTGGAGCACCTTGTGGGGCATCTCACACAGAGTATGAGCTCAACAAAACCTTGCTGAATAATGATCTAAAAATATGTGTTAGGAAAACATGTTTGAGCTAGACATTGGGCACAGAGTAGTCAGCAGAAGAGAGAGGCAGTGCAGAAAGGAAACAAGCTTTCTGCAAGTCAAACGTTTGTCATGGACCAGCTGTCGCAGCCCACAAGACAGCACAGCCCAAAGGCTCAGCCGGTTTTGCTGGCAAAGAAGAGCCTTCAGTGAGCTGGTGGGCTTTTTAGGCAGAGGAAGCGCTCAATGGTGTGGCTTCCTCCTTCCGTTTCTACAGGACGACCTAACTCAAACACAAGGGAAAGGTTCTGCTTGCAAAGCTCAACTTTCTTATCACCTGCAGAGGAAAACGACTCTACAAAGTAGCTTAACTTCTTTTTTTTTTTTTCTGTGAGACAAGGTCTTGCTCTGTCATCCAGGCTGGAGTCTAGTGGTGCGATAATAGCTCATTGTAGCCTTCAACTCCTGGGCTCAAGCAATCCTCCCAAGTAGCTGGGACTACAGGAGCATACCACCATGCCAGCTAAGTGTTTAATTTTTTGTAGAGATGGGGTCTCACTGTGTTCCCCAGGCTGGTCTTAAAACTACTGGGCAACTCTTAAGCTCAAGCAATCCTCTCGCCTAGGTCTCCCAAAGCACTGGGATTATAAATGTGAGCTACCACACCCGGCCTCAGCTTCTAAGTTATAAAACAAATCAGAGTAAATTCACTCATCAAACCCAGCAAGGTGTGTGTGTTTTTATTTATTTATTATTTTTATTTTTTGAGTGGAAGTCTCACTCTGTCGTGCAGGCTAGAGTGCAGTGGCACAATCATGCCACCGCAGCCTCAACCTGCTGGGTTCAGGCGATCCTTCCGCCTCAGCCTTCCAAGGAGCCGGAACCACAGGCAAGCACTGCTACGTCCTGCTAATTTTTTGATTTATTTTAAAGATGAGGTCTCACCAAGTTGCCCAGGCTGGTCTTGAACCCCTGGACTCAGGCAACCGTCTCACCTCGACTTTCCAGTGTGCTGGGATTAAAGGCATGAGCCACCATGCCTGGCCTGGTGTGTGTGTTTTTAAAAATTACTCCTATGATGTTAACTAGCTTAACTGTGGTGATCATTTCACAACGTATACACATATCAAAACATCAGGTTGTACACTTTATTTTTTTATTTTTATTTTTATTTTTTTTTTTGAGTTGGAGTCTCACTCTGTCGCCCAGACTGGAGTG